ACAAATATTGTATGACATCACTTAAATAAAAAGAAAATAAAAGGCAAACGTATAGAGATCAAGTTTACCACTGGTTATTGGAGTGGAAGGGCGGAGGACAAGAGGAGCTAAGGTGATGGAAAAATTGCATTGATTAAGGGTAGGATTGCACAGCCAGTTATTGTAATTGCTATCAATAAGTTGTATACTTGTAAGAAGGTTAATTGAGAAAAGTTGTGTGATAGATATATTTACAACAACAGCAAAAAAAAAAAAAAAGTAGCTGCTGAGGCTGCTTATGTATAACCAAACACCTCATGGGATTTGGTTCTTTGGTTTGGAGGTTTAGGGTGATGGTTTCATGGGGCATCCCAGTTAACTGGCCTAATAACACATTTAGTGCTTCTGTTCTACCTCCTGGTTTGTTGTGTAGTGCCTGGGCCCTTAAAAACTTGCAAATGGCCATTCAAGGCGCAACAATTGGCCTTTATTCACGTGGAGAAACAGAGGAAGAACGGGAGTCAGGAATAGGAGGAAATGGACGTGTGGCTAATTGTCTCCATGAACAACTGCCTCCTTTGCCATGAGACCAGAAGACCTGGATGCTGCCAGGCTGCCATTACTGAACATTTCGATCAAAGATTCCATAGAAGAATCCTGATCAAAATGGAGAAAATGTAGAACAGAATTTAAAGTCTCATAGACTCCAGACTTCCTGTAGCTATGGAGGGTGGATGAACCCCTGAAACTGCTGTCCTGAGATAATCTTTATACCTTAAACGAAAAACATCCACTGAAGTCTTCCTAAAACCAAACAATAGTTTAGCTTAACTAGTAAAAAAGGTCTGCCTTGAGCATTATGCTTTTTTAAGAACTGTCTATATGGGATCAAATTGACAACAGCAACTCGAAAGATCTGATAGGAACCTTAGAGGGCAATGAGTATATGTTAATGAAGGAGGAACAACTCAGAGAAGGTGAGAATAGTTGCACAACTCGAAGAATGTACTCAATGGCACTAAAGTTATACGTGTAGAAAATGTTTAAAAAAAAAGCATGTTGACAGATTGTGATAAATGTAACTAATGTCACTGAACAATTTGTGTGGAAACCGTCAAATGGGAACCTAACTTGCTGTGTAAACTTTCATCAAAACCTCAATAAAATATTTAAAAAACAAACAAACCAGGAAAAAAAAAAAAAAAGAACTCATATCCTCTTCTGAAGCAAAAATGAGTTAAGTCAAATACAAATATTCCTTGGGATCTTTCTTATCAGTGGAATCAGGAAAACTCAATTACTACTACATACTGAGAAAGAAAAAAGTAAGTCGTCAACAACAAAAAACTAAACTGATTTAAAATCCCAAGTATTATCACTGTTTCTACTAATAAAGAAATAATTTTTATATACTTAGCAACTCCTTGTAAAACAGAGAAGAGATTAGAGTTATTGTTATTTTTTATGATTTTGCCACTGGCAATTAATTCTTCTGATTTGTTTTATTAGTTTGACGCTTGGGTCCAAGACTCAGAATATCTTTCCAAACCAGCAGATTGATGTAGCAAAATTATTTCAGTGCAGTTCCCGGCAAATCATGATGATGAATAGCATGGTAGGATAAACTTATTCAGACACACATTTTTCAGTAGTGGCAGGGAAAAGGCTGAAAAATTACTAGTGAATTGCTTTTTGTAAAAATGCTCTCTTTTTCAAATTTTCCCTAGTCTGAAGGTCTTCTGCAGAATGACGGCACAATATGTTGTAACATGCCTGGACAGCAAAGGCAGTTAATGAATATGAGATAAGAGTGAAGGTTAAGATTTCCTTTTCTTATTATACCCTACCATCCCCCATACTCTCCCGACACCAAGTCTTTCTGCGTGCATCTTCTTAACCTATTGGGATAAGTGTCTCTAAAGGGTACGTATTATCTATCCTTAGCAGACATGGCCAGATCCACCCAACACCCATAATCTATCTAGCTGGCCCCAAAACACAGCCAAGGATATCAACGTGTCTCTAGTCTATTGCTTTCCTTTTACCTTCCCCTCAAATGCGCCCAGTTTTCTGAGCTTCAGATCCACACTTGTTACAAAGGTCTCCAAATATCCCCAGTGCCTGGTAAACCACCAAAGACAAAAGAAGGCTTGTCCTCTATCTTTTCCAAATCACCTCTGGATGTGATAGTTTCTGATTAATTATTTTGTCAGAGGACGCATAGGCTCTTCATGGGGGTTAGGACGTGCCTGTCTGTCAGCTCAACACAGAGCAGAATTTTCCAGACTGGAGCTTCAGGGCGGGTGGGCTCCCGACCTGTCCATACCTGTGGCAGGTGCAACACCGGGACTGCTCTTGTTCTTTCACTTTGTTTTCTCTGAAACCTGGCCTCTCAGGACACTCTAGGATAAGCTGACGGCAGCTTTACCATCCTGGTGAAAGGTGTAATCTGGTGCTGTCACCGGGGGATAGCTGTACCCCTCCACCCCCACCCCACCACTGTCTACCGACATTTTTTGGAGCCCTGGTGGCACAGTGGTGAAGAGCTCGGCTGCTCACCAAAAGGTCAGCGGTTCAGATCCACTAACCACTCCTTGGAAACCCTATGGGGCAAGTTCTACTCTGTCCTTCAGGGTCACTATGAGTCAGAACTGACTTGACACCTAACGACGAAAATAACACTGATGTTTTTGGTTGTCACACTGGAGGGATCAGTGCTACCGGCGTTTAGTGTATAGAGACCAGGGATGCTGCTAAAAACCCTACGATGCACAGGCCAGCACCCACCACGAAGAATTATCCAGTCCAAAATGTCAGTAGTGCTGAGACTGAGAAACGCTGGTGTAACCTAAATAAAATTCTCCAGAGATTCTTTTTGGTTGCCCCTCTAACATGGTTAAACCAGTACCAGTTGCTGTCAAGTCGATTCTGACTCATGGCGACCTCGTGTGTCAGAATAGAACTGTGCTCCATAGGGTTTTCAGTGGCTGATTTTTCAGAAGTAGATTGCCAGGCCTTTCTTCCAAGGCATCTCTGGGTAGACTTGAACCTCCAACCTTGCAGTTAGCAGCCGAGTGCGATAACCATTTGTAGCACCCAGAGACTTAACATGGCGAACCTAGGTACAACAGAACAAAACCTTGTCCGGTCCTGCGCCAGCCTCACAGTCATTGCTGTGTTTGAGCCCATTGTTGCAGCCACTGTGTCAATCCAAACATGGTTACCAGTTAGTACATTACAGCCTAATTTATGAAGTACTTGATTTGTCTCTCTCATTCCGTAGACACTAGTGTAGGCCAGCCAAGTGCAGGACTAGGCTGGACCGAGACGTAGAGAGACAGTTATCAGTCTCCAGACTGCAGGAGGTGTCTGTGGTCGTATGACACTCTCACACGGGGGTTGTGGGGTGTTCTCTCTTCCCCTTCTCTGAAGCCCCTCTCCTTTGGCCTGCAGTACCAGAGGGATGAGAACCAGGGATGGGGGAGGTGTCCTGCCTCTCCGTTGGGTACCTGGGTCTACCAGAAAGAGACTGGACTTAGGCTCAGGTAGATCAGGATCCTGCTCCTGCCTGTGCCTCTCACTTGCTGTGTGATCTTGGATGAGCAAAATAGCTTCTCTGAATGTTTCCTCCTTGAAGCAGGGAGCATGGCACTGACCTTCAGGGCACGAGGAAGAACGGTATTCCATAGGTGTACCAGCAGAGCGCCTGGTCCCAGACCCACTAACTCCACAGTCAGCAGCCACGTGTCTCGCTGCTCTAGTGGCATTTCCAGACAAGTGTCCCTGGAGGTCTTCGAGCTGGGCTCTCAGGCTCCCCCATGACAGGTCACACTGTCTGTCACAGCTGGGCTGGGCAGTGCAGCTGAGCCTATATGGCTGGTGCACGCCCGTGACCTTGCTTCTCAGGGATCTTGCTCCAAGCCCAGGGCCCTGCAGACCTCCTGTCTCCTTCTCAAACACAAGGAAAAACAGCGTGCGGTAACTCACAAGCAACATGCTTAACTCTATTTTATTGCTTTAAGTCCAACCCTCAAGAAAGTTCTGCCGTGTGCAATAAACAGCTGTGAATCTGCCTAATAACATGCAGGCATTTTACCCTCCTGGTATTCCCCAGAGGAGCCATGGGCCACCTGCATCTTTTTAGCTGCATTTAATAATTCAGCCCAGGATGAATTTGCATGATTAACATAAAGCCTCGTGATTTTATTTTCTTTCAGATTGAAATACTGAAACCACCGCCACTGTTTTCCTTTTCAGAGGTTGCGATCAAAACATAAAACTTGATTCTGGAATGAATCATTTCTTTTTTTTTTTAAAAAAAAAAAGAATTTTCAAATACCCCTCTCCACTGAATCAAAGAAAAGAGTTGCTAATGCTGCCCTTGGAGATGGAGGGAAACCCAGGTTCTTTTCACGGCTGGTGTTAACCCGTTCGAAGCCAGGGGCGCTCAGATTTCTCCTGTATGGTGTTCCTTCAGAACGCCACGGCAGATTGCTCACTCCACAACACCCACAATGGCTGATGTAAAATAGATTCACTTCAGTTCTTCATCTTAGGGTACCCCACACTTATCTGCTCAGGATCCATAATCTCCAGTAAGCTTTTAAGAGCAAAAACAGCAATTCTCTTAAATTCCAATAATAGATTACACGTCATCCTCAAAAAATAGTAAAAACTGAAACCAAATCAGTTGTATTTGGTAAACCATCTGCCCTTATGGTGCAGACATGGGTGCAAGACAATTATTTGCCAAGCAGAAAACGCAGCATCGTTGGGCGTCTTAATGAATACAGTTAAGCAGGTTTGTCTAATGGGGAAACACGCATTACTATCAAAAGGAAGACGACTGTATCCCACACGGGGAAGCAGGGAGGCTTTAATATCTGAGGCACTTTTCAAGCTGTGCCTGCTAGCAATTCTGCGCCTGTCTGATTTCCGTGCACATCACGGCCCACCTCACCTGCGTAAAAATGATTAACAAGCACGCGGTCGTGATGCTGGCTAAAAGTTCGTGTGGCCGGAGTTTGCATGTGACCCGCTGACACCTCTGTTGCTGTTTTGCTTGCAGGAATCATGGTCAGTAAGGAGTCCAGCAAATGCGTGCTCTCTGCTTCGGAGACCGAAGTGGAACCGGCCGCCTCGCTGGCCCTAGAGATGAAATATGCCCTGGACCCCAACCGGCAGATTAAAAAGCGGAACAAAGCGCTGCAGGTGCGGTTTAAGGATATCTGCGAGGCACAGAGCGAGCAGAGGGACACACAGCTGTCTGCGGGACAGCCGAGCGAGCGGCGGGAGGCCAAGGCCGTCTCGCACAAAGCGGCGTACCGCAAGTACATGACGGTGCCCGCCCGCAGGTCCATCCCCAACGTCACCAGGAGCACAGGCGTGCAGACCTCCCCGGACCTGCAGAAGTGCTACCAGACCTTCCCCCTGGACCGCAAGAAAGGGAGCCTGAGGAGCTTCCCGGCCGCGGACCCCTTTAAAAGTCAGAACAACGGGTTTCTCCTCGAGGCGAAGGAGAAGGGTGAGGAGAAGGCCCCCGGGGAGGCCGGGCCGTGTGGGGCGGCCCGGGTTCAGACGGCCGCCTTGGTGTTCCACTCCAGTGAACACATGAACGCGGGGGACCAGCCTTCAGGCCTCAACTGCACCGAGCCTTGTCAAAACCCCGATTTGCACAGTTGTCAAGACACCCCTCTCCAGGACGTGGCTCGGCCTCCTTCGGAAGACCCAGATTCCCAGCTGCACAGGAGAGCAAAGCATGACCGGGGGACCCTGGATGCCGAGGAGCCCACCTCGGCGGCCCACGGGAGGGTGTTTAAGACGGAGGTGGCCACGGTGTACACGCCTGCCCCCAGCGCACAGGCCCCCGAGCCGGCCTTGTCAGACTCCACGGCCGCCAGCGAGTGGTCTCTCTGCCCAGTGGAGGAGGAGCGCAGGAGGGCCGTGCAACTCGATGGACTGCAGGCCCCCCCGGGTGCCGCGCTGGCCTGCCTGCCCCCCACACAGTGCCCATCCCCCGAATGTGGCGAGCAGCCCCTGCAGACTCAGCTCCCTGCCGGGGAGGAGACTCAGCCTTGTCAGATGGCACTGGCTGCTGGTGAAGAATGCCAGCAAATCGTGCCTCATACGGAAGTGGTTGACCTGAAAGCACAGCTGCATATGATGGAGAACTTGATCAGTTCAAGTCAAGAAACCATCAAAGTGCTCTTGGGGGTCATTCAGGAGTTGGAAAAAGGAGAGGCTCATCGGGAAGGGTATGTATGCCCACACCTATCTTATGAAGCTTGGCAGGTTCCCCACCCTCGGGTCCGTCCTGAGCCCCGAAAACCCAAGCACAAAGAGGCTAAAGCCAGCCCTTCTGTGGCCATGCTAGAATCTAAGGCCAGAGAAGGCAGAAAGGGGTAGCCATTCGTTTTACCAGGCACTGCTTATTTACCTTCAGGATATACCTGTTGGTTAGTATTCACCTGTCTGGCCTTGAATTCAAAACTACACCTATGTTTTGAATGAACTGATGGATTTTGCCTTTTCTTAATCTACTAAGACTAAAGGTTTATGATATTGTTGACATACTTTAAGAATGCCAATCCAAGATCTCTAATCCAAATAAAAAGCCATTTGCCTCTTAGGAATCGTATTATAGAAGAGAAAAGAAAAAATTCAGATGGGGTTTTTAAAAAGTACATGCTGATTTGCTTATACTAGGTAATTGGAATAACTTTGATATTCAGGGTTGTCTAAGGTTGGGTACAATAGACAATGTGTTTCTCTGTTTGCCTGGAACTCAACCAACCCCTAGAGAATTCCTACCTGACTATGACTAGGAGAGTGAGGCCCCCTCCATGGGTCTCCCTCTGCGTGCAGTTGGGCTGCAGAGAGAAGGGCACCCCTTCACAGCCAGTACCGTCCAGCATTGACAGCAGCTGGCTGAAGTCTGTTTGCCATCTTTGAACGTTTAAGCTAAGGAGTAGCAACTTGAAAGACAAAGGACCTAAGGCCAGTGGCTTAAGCCCTAGGAAGCCTGGGTGGGCCAGGCAGTGGCTAGTCCCCGCTGCTTCCCCAGGCAGTGCCCAGGGCTTCCCGGCCTTTGTCTGGAGGGCTGGGCCTTCTCTTTCCCATCTCCCCTAGAAGCTGTCTCCATTCCCTGCAGCCCATGTTCTGGGGGTTGGATTGGAGACAGTCACTGCTGGCTCGCGTGACTGGCACCCTTCCCTCTGCAGGCCCTGGGCCCCTGGTTTGGCGACCTGGCAGCCAGCATCAAGGCATTGTAAGGGCAGCAGGCACCCCATGCTCAAGTGGGTTATTGGGGTCGAGTGCAGACACAGTGTTTGCTTATCGCAAACCGTGGGTGAGGAGACCACCTTTCTAGTGTGAGGTAGCAGGTGAGGCTACAGGTGCCTAGTGCAGATTCTGCCCTTGGCTCTGATCTCAAGCTTCGTGTAGGTAGCCATTCACAAAAGGGATTAGTTCCCCATCCTAGCCCCCATCCTCGCCCTCCTATTTATGTAGTATTGTTTGCAGTCCAAGCTGTTAAAAAGAGGAGCTAGCCACATTTCAAATAATCTAACAGTAGATTCGCAGGTAACCTAACACCGTAGATGTTTTCAAAAGCCCTTGTTTGATCTCCGTCTTCATCCCATTTCAACGATTTAGACTTGAATGCAGTTATCTCCCCAAGCGGCACATGAAGGCAGGCGTGTAAGGAATCTGCTGGTCAGGAGACCACATTCCCACAGGAAAATTAAAGGGTCCTGATCAATGACTGCGGCACTGTCGGCAGTGACTCAATACCGACATCTCCAGGTGTGATAAAATTCACCCAACGGTGTCAGCGTTCCGTGTATGCTGAACGCCCAGGAAAGGAGAGCTGTGATGTGAGGTTCCTCGCACTCTTAGGACAAGGTGGACAGCAGCTTTCACTAGGCTCCTCTGGGCTCTCTGAGGCTATCAGTCGAGCAGAGTGGTTTCGAGGGGAGCAGGACCTGTCCAGGAGGGAATTCTGGCCCCGAGGCCTTGGCCCAGGGCCGCCCCTGTTGGAGCCTCCCGTCTTCACCTGTAAGTTGGAGATGGGCACCTGTCTTGCAGATGGAGGGTAAGGATGAAAGGACTAAGCTTAGCCCTGTGGCGGGTGGATGTCTGCCACAGCCAGTGATGGTGGTGGGGATCTGGACACCACTTTGAGGCCCTTGTCTAAGTCCAGCATGGCGAATGTGCCCCCATGCTCTCAGCACAGGCTGCCCCTCAGCCCTGTCCCCAAAAGCCCTGGAGCTATGCTGTTCAGTACAGTAGCTTCAAGCCACATGTAGCCACTGAAACTCAAATTTAAATTAATTACAACTGAACACTCAGTTCCAGGGTCACACTAACCATGTTTCAATTGAGCCCAGGTGGCTACTGGCTCCTGCATAGTCGACACAGAACATTCCAGTCACCACCACAGCCCTTCACCCCAGTGACCCCACATCATAGCCCAGGACCCGGCGCCTCATCATTTGATGACACAGGCACAATAGCTCAAGACAAAGGATCATTTCACTTTAAAAGCATTCGGGGTCAGTGGTTGCGCACACAAGGATAGCTCGTCGTGGAGGGTGGGTCAGTGTCCGGGGAACGCCCCCATCTGGTCCTAAGACCTCCATCTCCACCCCTTTCTCTGAGCCCCTTGGACTCACGTAAGAAAGAATGGAATGGTTTCAAACTTGGAGGCCACCTTCAGGTGCCCCCTCTTGCTCAATGCCCAGGACATTCATTTGGCTGACATTCAAATGGCCCACCCCTCTTCTCCAGGTCAGAGTATGGGGAGGGGGTGCAGCAGCCTCAGCGACGAGCAGGCAAGGGGCAGCTTGTTCTTCATCCCCTTCCTGGCCTTTGAGTCCAGCACAGAATCACAGGGATGAGGACAGCTAAGCAGCAGCAGGTACTGGCCACAGCCAGCACGGTGTCCTGGCAAATGCTCGGTGGTAGGATATGGGGAGTGTAAGCATTTTCTGATTTCCATGGTGCAAATACCTCTACCACGTTCAATTTCAACTGGGTGGAAAATTTCTCCAAATCCTTCAATCTGCCCTAAAACTGGTCCCTGCCACCCCACACTCCTCTCCATGCCAGACCAACCCCTGAAGGGTCTGCTCCAGGACTGGACGTCAGAAGGAGAGGTCACAGGACCTATTTTAAGGACTCCATCTGAGCGGGGAAATAGATGTTTTGCTGCATCTCGTGTTGCTGCTGTTGTTGGGTGCTGTCAAGTCGATCCCAACACACAACAATCCCAAGTGACAAAGCAGAACTGTCACATGGGTTTTCTTGGTTGTACTCTTTACGGAAGCAGATCTCCAGGTCTCTTCTCCAGCGGAGCCGCTGGTGGGTTCAAACGGCCAATCTTCGGGTTAGCAGCCAAACGCTTTGAACCTCTGCACCAACAGGGCTCCTTGATACCCGCTGCTGTAGAGTCAATTCCACCTCATAGCATCTCATGGTAAAAACCAGGAAAACTCACTCTACTTTACGTAGATTATTATTGAGTCATTGTGTAGCACAACCGTTAAAATATCACACATCAAGTTACAATATCAATAGATTTTTCCATGAAAAATATTCTAAAGCCACCCTATAGGACACAGCAGAAGTGCCCCAGAGGGTTTCCTAGGCTGTAATCTTCATGGAAGCAGATTGCCAGGTCTTTTCTCCTGTGGAGCGGCTGACGGGTTCCAGCGGCAGACCTTCCCTTTAGCAGCCTAGCGCTTAACATTGTGCCACCAAGACGCCTTAATGAGAGATTAGAGCTGAGTTACGGGCCTGGCATACCATCTGATTTGGAAAATACTGAACTTCCTGAGGAAATCCCTGGTTTTGCTTTATACATCATTCCGAATCTGATTCATTGGTAAGAAATGGAATGTTTTCATTTTTTGAGAACAAAAGTGACTCTAGGTTTCCTTTAACACATCATACAACAGTCAGTAATATTTTAGAAATGGCCAAGAGGTAGGCCTAAGCTTCTGACTCTCTTCTCTCTCCTCTCCAAACTCCTCCTTTGTGGGGCTGGGATCAAACCCTACGGACATCCCTGGGTGGCGTAAGCAGTTAGTGCACTCAGCTGCTAGCCAAAAGGTTGGCAATTAGAGTCCACCCAGAGGGGCCCTGGAAGAAAGTCCTGGTGATCTGCTTCTGAAAAATCACCCATTGAAAACCCTGGGGAGCACAGTTCTACTCTGACACACACAGGATCGCCATTAGTCAAGAGTCAACTCGACGGCAGCTGGTTGTTAAGAGTGAATCCAAGTGACAAAACTTGGCCCCAATGCTACACACCCACCCCAGGGGTGAGCTAGGCCAGCACTTGTTTAAAACATTAGGACAGAACTCGTGAAGGCATTACGCTCAGAACTTGGCTTCCGGCCAGGGGCCACCTTATATTTCCGGAAACATATTTAATGTCCTGCCTTTTGAGGTAGGACTCCTTTTCCTTAGGGAGTTCGTGTGTGGGGGTCAGATAAGCTCTTCCCACTGCTGCTTTTTTTTAAATATTTTATTGTGTTTTAGGTGAAAGTTTACATAGCAAATTAAGTGCCCATTTAAAAATCTGTATACATCTTGTTCCGTGACATTGGTTACATTTTTATAACGTGGCAACATTCTCATGATTTCCATTCTTTTTGTTCTGCTTCCATTAATCTTGCTTCCTGGCCCCTCCTTAACTTCTCCTCTTTGTTTTAGGGTAAATTTTGACCATTTGGTCTCATAGTGTTGATTATTTAAGGGAGCACAGTATTCATGGGCGATATTGTTTTATGAGCCAATCTATTATTTGGATGAAAGGTGACCACTGGGAGTAGCTTCAGTTCAAATTCAAAGGGTATCAGAGGGCGGTAGTCTCGGGGTTTCCTCTAATCTCCATCAGTCCAGACAGTCTGGCCTTTTTTCAGAATTTGAGTTTTGTTCTACATTTTCCTCCCATTGTAACCGGGACCTTCTGCTGTGTCCCTGGTCAGACGGTCAGTAGTGGTAGTTGGGCACCTTGGAGTTCTTCTGGTCTCAGGCAAGATAAGGCTGTGGTTCATGTGAGCTATCAGTCCTGTGGACTACTTTCTTCTTTGAGTCTTTGGTTCCTTCCTCCTCTTTTGTTCCAGATAAGTTGTATCTTAGATGGCCACTTAACAGCTTGACTCCGGGTGCTACTCACCCAACTAGGATATAGAACCTTATCTTCATGAACTGTATTATGTTATGCCAATTGACCAAGTTGTCCCGAGCG